AATTGATTTTTTCAACAAAAAAATAATTGTAATTTGAAGTTGGAAGAGAAGTTTGGAAAATGTTAAGGGAAGTCATTTTCCTTAAATTTGAGGAAAATGAGTTGATTTGGAAAACATTTTCCAAAACATTTAACCCAACCAAACATGAGAAAATTGGAAAACATTTTCCGGAAAATGTTTTCCTTCATACCAAACACACCCTTCAACTATTCTCTTAGTTGAAAACCTCAACTTTGCTCATTCTGTCTTTACATTAATAATGGTTTGGACCCATACAAGTCAAGGTCTTTTTTTTTTTTTCTTTGTTTTTTTGATAAGGTAACATACAAGTCAAGGTCTTTACTGATTGAAGTATAGCAAATTCACTGATTCTGTACAGAATATCGTTACTTGCACAAGCACAACTCCTTGCCTAACTCTCAGACTACTTTCTACCAGAGTTTTTCAAATGAGAAATCCAAGATGCCATTTCCTAGTTCTATTCATTCAACTTGTGTCTATCATTAGCTTTTGTCACTACATAATGCCAATCAGAGGTGAAGATAATAACACTAGTGCTGTAAAGGTGGATGTGGGTATAATTCTTGATATGGAAACAGATGTGGCAAAAGTAATGCACACATGTATTTTACTAGCAATTGAAGATTACCATGCTGCCACTAGTCGTACTGCCACTAGGATAGTACCCCACTTGAGGGATTCCGAGAAAGATGATGTTGAAGCAGCATCCGCTGGTATATTCTGATCCATGATTTACTTCTGTTAAACTAGCATATCATTCTCTCTTTTCGTCTGTTTTTCACTTTGGAACGATTTCTTATAGTCTGATTGTGTATACGCAGCCATATACTTGCTAAAGGATGTCCAAGTACAAGCTATCTTTGGGCCACAAATGTCTACACAAACTGATTTTGTGATTGACTTGGGGAACAGAGCAAAAGTTCCTATCATATCTCCAGCAACAAGTCCTTCACTTTCTGTCAAGGAAAATCCCTTCTTCATCAGAGGAGCACTTCCTTCTTCCAGCCAGACTAAAGCCATTGCAGCAATTGTTAAAAACTATAATTGGACGAAGGTTGTAATCATCCACGAGGATAGCTCCATTGGAACTGGGATAGTTCCACATCTGACTGATGCCTTACTGGAAATCAACACTTTAGTCCCCTATAAAAGTGCTATTTCTCCTTCAGCCAGTGATGATCAAATCCTCAAGGAGTTACACAATTTGAATACAAAGCAAACCACAGTGTTCATTGTGCACTTACAACCATATCTTGCCTCACGCCTTTTCCTCAAGGCCAAAGAAGCTGGGATGATGAGCAGTGGATATGCATGGATCATCACAGATGTGCTAACGAGTTTTCTGGACTCAGTAGATCATTCAGTCATTGAGTCATCAATGCAAGGTGTTCTAGGTATAAAACCTTATGTTCCAAGATCAAATGAGCTTGACATGTTCACCAAGAGATGGAGAAAGAGATTCTGTCAAGAGTATCCAGACATGGACCCAGTTGAACTCAATGTTTTTGGGCTATGGGCATATGATGGCATCACAGCATTAACAAAAGCAGTAGAAAAGGTTGGTGGCACTGCCATTCCAAAATTCAAGAAAGCAGACACTAGAAAGAACTTAACGGACTTGGACACACTTGGAACTTCAGAATTGGGGTCTCTGCTCATTCACTCTATGCAAAACACAACACTAAAAACAGGTCTAAGTGGTGATTTCTGCTTCGCTAATGGAGAATTGCATCCTTCCCCATATCAGATTGTGAATATTATTGGGACAGGACAGAGAAGCGTTGGATTTTGGACAGAGAAGGATGGCATTTCGTACAAACTGAAGATGAATGGTGAAACAGCTAAAACTAATAATAAGCAACTAGGGGCCATCATTTGGCCCGGTGAATCTATTATAGCTCCGAGAGGCAGGGAAGTATTTACAAGTGGGAAGAAGCTAAGGGTTGGAGTTACTGTCAGTGGACAGATGAACGAATTCTTTATAATAAAAAGAGATTCAAAAACACAAGCACAAGTTGCAGGTGGTTTATGTGTAGATTTCTTCAACGAAGTCATCCAACATTTACCATATTCTGTCCGTTACGAGTTTATTCCAATTCTGATACCAGATAGCCCCACTTCCCCAGACTATGATCATCTTTATTACACGGTATTACCAAATCCTTGTGTAAAATGATACCTTACATGCTCCTTTCTGGGGACTTTCTTCTCTACTTTCTACTTTTGCTCTGACTGAGGAAGACCAACCATTAATAGTGCAATAATCATTGTTTGCCTTGAACCAGGAATATGATGCAGTCGTAGGTGATTTGGCCATTTTAGCACCACAATCTGATTATGTGGACTTTGCATTACCTTTTTCAGAGTCGGGTATTGCCACAGTTGTGCCAGTTAAGGATGATAGAAAGAATATTTGGATTTTCTTGAAACCTCTAAAGAGCGAGCTCTGGATAACAACTGGAGCTTTCTTCGTCTTCATTGGTTTTGTGGTTTGGGTACTCGAACATCGTGTAAACAAAGAGTTTCGAGGACCCAAACACAAGCAAGTTGGGATGATATTCTGGTTTTCTTTCTCAACTCTCGTTTTTGCCCATAGTAAGTCTCTAACAGTCTAACTTAAAGGAAGCTTTAAGATTTCTCATTGTTTCTCGACATATCATATGTATGGCTGGTTGTTGCAGGAGAGAGGGTAACAAGTAACTTAACAAGATTTGTGTTGATTGTATGGGTTTTCGTGGTTATGGTGCTGACATCAAGTTATACAGCCAGCTTAACATCTATGTTAACAGTGCAACAGCTTAAACCTACTATAACAAACCTTAATGATCTCATCAAGAATGGAGAATATGTTGGGTACCAAGAAGGTTCCTTTGTTGTAAACTTCTTGCTGCACATGCAATTTGACAGCTCCAAGTTAAGAAGTTATAGCACATTGGAAGAGTACAATGATGCGCTCTCAAGAGGAAGTAAAAATGGAGGTGTTGCTGCAATTATTGATGAACTACCTTATCTCACACTCTTCCTCAACAAATACTGCAGGAAGTATATTATGGTTGGTCAAACTTACAAGACTAAAGACATTGGACTAGTAAGATTCTCTCTGAATCTTTTAACTGGAAAGGTTTCATAACTGAAGTTATACTACTTCACCCAATCTAATTCACTTTTTCTTCACAATTTCTTGTAGGCATTTCCAAAAGACTCGCATTTGGTACCTGACGTCTCTACCGCAGTCTTGAAGGTGAATGAGGGAGGAGAGTTTACGAAAAACGGTATACAGAAATACTCTAGAAATGATACAGATTGTCCACAGAACGATGGGACATCTGAAAGTCTCACACTAGATAGTTTTAAGGGCCTTTTTCTCATAGCTGGTGTATCAGCAGGCTCCGCTCTTCTCATATTCTTCTTCATTTTCCTTTATCAGAATAGAGAAATCTTAGCCACTGATGATTCAATACAGAAAAGGCTTGCTGCAATAGCAAAAGTCTTTGATGAAGAAAAAGATAACTCTAATTCTAAGTCAGAAAAGCCAGAAGCCAATGAAGAAAGCCAAACGTCTACAATACTGTTCGTAGCAAGTGAAGCTTCCCCTGAAATATTGCCCGATCTCCCTTTGCAAAGCCTAGAAATCAGAATCTCTGATGGCCTAGGAGCATCCCCTGCAGATGAAAGGTTCTCTATAACAGAACCTGCAACTTCAGCTAATGAAACCATTACAGAGACATTTTAACTTTGTAACTCTTGGCCTTGATTTTTGCATCAAGAGGCAGCTTCAGAACTAGATCTGATGGATTTAACCTTGGATGGTTGTCACCTATTGTATTACTGCATTCCCTGTGTACCAATTTATGTGGCAACATTCTGATCTAAAACATTCATTGACCATTTGGTGGCTATAAACTACATCATCATACTTATTCTAAAAGTAGAAAACCCCATAGTTGAAAGTTGATTTACGAAATTACTCTTAAATAGTTGATTGACAATTTTACCATACATCATTAAAAAATTACCTCTTATTAAATAATGTAATATATATTACAAATTACCTTTCCACTAGTGTGTTGTCAAAGGCGCGTTTAATCCCTGAAGCGAACCACAAAACATGTCAAGTGTTTTGCCTCACTTAGGGCTCGTTTGGTTGGTTAATAAGTCATCCCAAGATTGTCATCTCACCCTCAATGATGGATAAAAATAACACTACACCCAAACAAAGATGGGATAAATTCACCCTAGAATTAATCACGAGACTAGTTATCCTTTATACCTCGTACCAAACGAGCCATGTGCTCTTTAGTGTCGTCATCAAGGTTCTAAGACATATTTTTCCTCACCGATGAGCATCTCCGGAAGACACGACACCAAACGATTGATATTTCACTTTATCGTAATTCATTTCAATTTTTTTCCATATAATTGTTATTCATGCTTATAATGATTAGCCTTGAACTAAACATATATATTTGTATTGTTTCTCCATTTGCTCTTTTCATTCAAGCCTATGTTTTATATGTGATTTGGCTTAAAACCCCAATGGACCTTAGAACTTTTTTGTGTATTTTTATTTTGATAACACTACTTTCAACTAGACGCCAAATCCCTCGGGTCCGTGCATTAACATATTCCATCAAACCTCAAACGTATTTCCAAAGCATTGTATTGGAGTAGTGAACAAAGAAAAGAGGTCAAACTTCAAGCCATGAATTTTAAGGTGCCGCTAGCATTAAAGTTAGAAGATTTGGTTTCGAAAAAACATTCTGGGATGCAAGTTGTATTGGTAATTTGTTCATTGTTTTAAGCTTTTAGTTCAAACTCAATTGAGATAAAGCATAAAACAATTCTACTCAACCCTCTGGTTCCTTCTTACTCCTTTTATATTAACTTGGAACATAGGAAGCAACTCACAAGTTAGCTTAGATGACCAAGGTGGTTATTTTGTGTGTTATGTTCCAAGACGGTCTTCAAAGACTCAATGATAAAATTAACCAGGTGAACAATGGGATTGATACATTATGATAGCTGAGTTTCCTATGAAAACTGAAAATAAGTCACATGACAACAGCAGCAGGTTCTAAAAATAAAAATTATCACAACTCCATCCAACAAGTATAAATCAAGGTCTATTGGTTATATTATTAGCATATCAATGTTTTATGCAAGTTCCACCAGACGTGCACCATACAAAATTCCAGCACAGTACAAAATTCAGTTGAGAGAAGAAATAAAGCCTGAGATCCAACCTTGTTCTCATTCTTCGGGAAAATCTGAGCGGGTGGCTGTTCAAAAACCAGCAGAAATGTTTATCAGTAAACAAAAAGCACAGCCTGCAATGGTGATAAGACAACAGAGAAAAAAACATCCTCCATGCCCCCATCCGCTCATCTAAAACATAAAAAAAGGTATGTAGATATATGGAACTAATGTTTTCAAAAGTGTATACATCACATGATAAGGCAAACATGACATTTCTTAAAGATACAAAGGAGACACAAAAAAGCTAAATTCCTATTTACCACTATTCATTTGTTTATGACTTTTAACATTTGTGAGAGCTATTCCAATTAAAGAGCATGTATAAACACAAACATAAGCATCTATGTACATCAATCATGTACATTAATATCAATCAGCAGTGGCCCAGGGTGTCATCATAATGATCCTCCACTTCTTTCTATTTCTCTTAATGAGTCCAACTTCCATTCAAATTCCCATTAGACCTTGTATTATGAAAAATAGGAAAATGAGAAGAAACAAATTATGTTATGAAACATTTCAACATAAAATGATAAGAATACAAATGTATAGATATGATGAAATGTATGAACTGATATCAGGCAGCGATTAGAAGTGAGTACATATTATCTTCTTTTTTTTTAATGACAAGAGAAACCCACCCTTTGGATGCGCACAAGGTAAAACCCCCGCTCCTATGCAATACCTTGCAAACCACACAGGAGAGGTAACCCGCACTAGGCAAGCCCGTGCTTTAGCTGGCAAGGGGTTTCGAACTTGAGGCCTCCAACATGAAAGTCTCAAGCCCAAACCACCGGGCCACCCCAAAGGGTATATATTATCTTTTTAGAAGAGGAGAATAAGCAAGAAAGAGCACAGGAATAGTACACAAGCCAGTAGACAGTATTAAACAAATGATCAACACTAGCAAGTACATCACGGAATATTTGTTGGAATTTAGTCGGGCAAACAGCACAGAGATCATCTGAAAATTCTAAATGATTCTCAGCACCACAAAATCTCCCCAAGTTAATTATCAATCATGCCATGCTTTAGTGGATATTGACATGCAAGACAGAAAGAATAAAGCTTCCACAGTCCACCTAAAAGAGGTAGATAAACTAATAAGATCGCTTTCATTTCAACTCATTGGTTATCTATTTAGTCAGGAGTAGAGTTCATTTAGAACATTTTCATGTCTAGGAGATGGAGAAAAATCTTTTATTGATTAATAGAACTATTTAGAGAACAACTCCCGCAGAAACCAAACAAAGTTAATTATATGAAGAAGAATCTCATATGAACATAAAACCCTAGATTTATTAATGCCACCTCCTAACGAACACAACATATTTGCAAGTTCAATTCATTTACGACTCCCTGCAACGAAATTCCCATCACTAATAACAGCATCCGAAGAATAGTAATAAAAGCAATTACTGAAACATTAACATGAATTGACACACAAAATAAGGGGAAACCAAAGATCTGAACTTTGAGTTTCCTGATCGAAAGGGGGATAAAGGAAACAGAGAGATCGCTTACTCGGTTTCTGAGGCTTGCCATCAGCCCATTTGGAGATGGTGTAATGGACCTTCTCACGGCTCAAAGCTTCGGACTTGTAAGGCTCTTTAAGGCAGTTTCTGACCAGGTTCGTGCATAGGTTTGAGTATGCTATGTAAGTCATCCCTGCCGACCTCCAAAACGGTGCAGCTGCGTTAGAAGCCATTTATCTGCTGCTTTTTGCTTTCTCTTTCTGGATTGCTTTCTCTCGGCTGCGTTTTGTTGCCACGGATGAGATGGGTACCTGCGCACAATACCCTGTCAATACAAGGAAATAGGCAAATTTTACTTCTATACCGTAGAAAATTATGATTTCTCTAAAAATATTTCCCTTTTTTCTTAGTTAACTTTGAAAAACATGTTTAGTCCTAAATTTAACTTAATTTTGGAATTTGTAAGTTTAAAAAAATTATATAAATATTTCACTTTTTACAATTCAAATTACTCAAAAAAAAAAAAATATAATCTATATATATATTTTTTATTTTATTTTAATTTATGTGATATTATGAAATTGGAGAAGCTATTGAAATTTTTATATGATTTTAAAAATATTTTAAATTGTCAGTTACTGTGATTTATAGTAATTTACATAATTTTGAAAATAATATTTATTATTCTCTTTGTTCCGATATTTATGTGGCACATGTAGGATTTCAAAAATTAACCATTTTTTATATGTCTCTTAAATATATTAAGTTGTTAATTATTGTATTTTATAGTACATTTTTAACTTAGTTTTTAAACAATATATGTTACTTCCCATGTCCCAATTTATGTGGCATTAATTGATAGATTTTTTGGAGTCAAGCAATTTTTTTTGTTAATTATTGTATTCGTCAATTTCAAACAATATATGTTTATCCTCTAATCCATTTTATGTGGTACCGATTGAATTTAGAGAGTCAATCAAACTTTTTATATAACATTTAAATAAATATATATATATATATATATATATATATATAAAAAATATATATTTTTAAGTATACTTAATTGTTAATTATTTTAATATCTTTTTTAAATATGTAATCAACTAAAAAAGGTGAGACATGATAATTAAAATAAAGAAATACACAATAGTATTGGTTAGCCGAGATGATAAAGTTGGGGGGGCCACTTAAATTAAATAAAGATGGATATATGTGTCATTATGGAGATGTTGGCTGCTTTTTTTGTCTAAAGAAGAAAAGGTACAATTATAAAGCACCGTCATATAAGAGTTTTAAGGAGCAAAAGATAGCAAATACCATAATTCTAAACATTAATTGCAAGGGGCAATGACCAAATTGCACTTGAGCTTTTCTAAATATGGCAAAAAACAGTCATGTTGAAAGTTTGAAAACTCTCCCTTCTATATAATAGAAATATGGTCAAACATAAAATATTTGGCCATGAAATTACTTTACGGTCCAAAGTTAATCTCCAAAAAAATAGGTTTGATCATAAAATTTCAAAATTTAGAAAAACAACAAAAAGATAGATATTGGTGGATTCGTACCTGAGATCTTTCTACAGATGGTGGGGGTGGATCTATAGCCATGTTCTATTTAGAGGAATAAAATAAAAATAATCTTTCGAAGAAACAGTTGAGTGATTGATAATTGTACATACCACTTTCATCTAATACAATTTTTTGTAGAATTTTATATGTATCTTATATCTATGAGATTGAATATGAAATTTTGTTTACTCACTCCAAATTACTTGCAACAAGTCAACAATGACTCAAATTTATATTTATGGCTAAACACAAATTAAAAAGAAAACCTATTTTTTTTTTTCAAATTCTTAGTGATGGGAGTGAAGTCATAAAGCCGCTAATTATCTGCATTAATAAGATAAGGTAATACATATGTCACAAATGCAACAATTACTAAAAAAAGGTTTTGCTTAAGAAATGTAACAATTATTGAACGTCTTTTGGGAGTAACAAGGGACAATGAATTAAGGGTTATAGAAAAGATTCAAAATTAGGGATTGGTGACTCAAGTCTTAATTATTGAGTAGATGTGACAATTTTTAAATTAAGAATTAAGGGGTACTCAAGTCTTAATTATTTAGTAGATGTGACAATTTTTAAATTAAGAATTAAGGGGTACTCAAGTCTTAATTATTTAGTAGATGTGACAATTTTTAAATTAAGAATTAAGGGGTACTCAAGTCTTAATTATTTAGTAGATGTGACAATTTTTAAATTAAGAATTAAGGGGTACTCAAGTCTTAATTATTTAGTAGATGTGACAATTTTTAAATTAAGAATTAAGGGGTACTCAAGTCTTAATTATTTAGTAGATGTGACAATTTTTAAATTAAGAATTAAGGGGTACTCAAGTCTTAATTATTTAGTAGATGTGACAATTTTTAAATTAAGAATTAAGGGGTACTCAAGTCTTAATTATTTAGTAGATGTGACAATTTTTAAATTAAGAATTAAGGGGTACTCAAGTCTTAATTATTTAGTAGATGTGACAATTTTTAAATTAAGAATTAAGGGGTACTCAAGTCTTAATTATTTAGTAGATGTGACAATTTTTAAATTAAGAATTAAGGGGTTAAATTTTTCATCCCTAAGTTTTTTTATTTTACACTTTAGTCCATCTTATATAAAACCCTAAATAATAAGAAATTGAGGGAAAAAAGGGTACCAACGACTCACTTTTTCCCTTTTTCTCTCTTGCTTATTCTTCCATTATTGGGGACCATTGTTGCTGCTCTTCTTCTTCATTCTTCTTCTCCATCACCATTCTTCTTCTTCTTCTCCATCATCATTCTTCTTCTTGTTGTTCATCACCATCTTCTGGTTATTCATCTTCTTTTTTTCAGTTGATATTCACATTGTACTGCTGCTTTCAGACCAATTTTCATTCATATATCATTGGGCATTACATCATAGGTGATTTTGGTAAGTAAATTAATGATTTTTACTCTAATTTTTCATTTTGGTAGTTTGAGTGTTTCTTCAAAACTTTACAGCTGCGTACACAACAGGTAAGTCATTTGTTGCAACAGATAAACTATATGTTGGATACATATTACAGTACCATGTCAAGCTGGGACTGAACCAGAAGCTTGTTCCAACAGATAAATCATTTATTGCAATCGATGAGTCATCTGCTGCACCAGATGACTCATCTATTACAACAGAGGGCTTACCTATTAGATACATATTATAGTATCAGACCAAGCTGAAAAAGAACCAGAAGTTTGTCACAACAGATAAGTCATTTATTGCAACATATGAGTCATCTGCTACACCAGACGACTTATATGTTGCAACAGATGGCTTACATGTTGGATACATATTACAGTACCAGGCCAAACTAGGACAAAACCAAAAATTTGTCCAAATATGCAAGTCATATATTGCAACATATAAATTACCTGTTGCAACAAATGACTCATCTGTTACAACAATTGACTTACATATTGAATAAGTTTCTGGTTCTGGACATGTATCCAACAAGTGAATCATCAGTTGCAACAAGTGAATCATATGTTGCAACGGATGACTTACTTGTTGCAATAGATGATTGACTTGTTGGGACAATGATTGTACATATGATTTTTAACTATATATAGTCACTTAACTTTACTATGCAATCATTATTAAATATTTTTAATAAATTTCTTTAGGTACCATTAATGGAAGAATCAATAACAATAGCTATCGATTATTATTGTGAATGGATTGAGAAGAACAATCGATTTATTTGGCGTTGGAAGGATGGTGACATGTCAGAGTCAGTATTGATGACCGTCCAAAGGGATATTTTGTATAATAATTTTGTGAACTCAATCATTAGCTATTGTGGACTAAATTGCCAACCAAATGATCTTGTCATCAGTTACATGCACAAGTCTTTTGAAAATTAAAGGGTCCTACCTTTTAAGATAATCAATCAATTTCGGGGAATCATTTCCAACAAGAAAAAATAAGTGTTCAATATGTAAAAATATTGGTCACAAGAGAACAACATGTCTGGTTCGAAATGCTCCATAATTATTGTAATAGTGAAATAGCTATTTTGTACTTAGTTATAAATATGATAATTTTAACTCATTTTGGTTAATTGTGTATGCTCATATTTATTATATAAAATATATTAGTTATGCTCATTTGTTGCAACAAACTTTGCATATTTTGCATTAGATGCATTATCTATTGCATTATTTGTTGCAATAGATAATCCATCTGTTGAAAATAATAACATAAATATGATTATATGTTGCAACAATTATAGGAATATGTTACAACAAATATCAAATATGTATTATTTGTTGCAATAGATGACTCATCCATTGGAATTAAGCATATATGTTCATATGTTGCAATGGATGCTTCATTTGTTGCAACATATGAGCATTAGTTGTAACATATGAGCATATATGTTTGATCATTTTCAACCGACTCTATATATATTTGATATGAAATGCTTCATTAACCCATAATTAGTGATAAATAAAGTTATTTAATTATAATTAGATTTTAATTAATAAGTTCAATTGCATTTTCAATGTATTGTAGAGTAATTACATGATCAAGTAACTGTATTCGTCTTAAATAAAGTGATCAATTGATTATTTTGATATGAAATGCTTCTTTAACCCATAATTAGTGATAAATAAAGTTATTTAATTATAATTAGATTTTAATTAATAAGTTCAATTGCATTTTCAATGTGTTGTAGAGTAATTACATGATCAAGTAACTGTATTCGTCTTAAATAAAGTGATCAATTGATTATTTTGATATGAAATGTTTCATTAACCCATAATTAGAGTTAAATAAACTTATTTAATTATAATTACCTTTCAATTAATAAGTTCAATTACATTTTCGATGCATTATAGAGTAATTACATGATCAACTAATTGTATTCGTCTTAAATAAAATGATCAATTGATTATTTTGATATGAAATGCTTCTTTAACCCATAATTAGTGATAAATGAAGTTCAATTATAAGTTCAATTACAATAGATAACTTATCTGTTGCAATAGATAACCCATCTGTTGAAAATAATCAAATAAATATGATCATTTGTTGCAATAAATATAGAAATCTGTTACAACAAATGTCTAATATGAATTATATGTTGCAATAGAAGACTCATCCGTTGAAAATAATCAAACATATATGCCAATCTGTTGCAATGGATGATTCATCAATTGTAATATATGAGTTGCAACAGATTATAACCTGCTGCAACATCTGTTTCAATAGTATAATTTAACATTTTACAAATCTACGAATAAAATAAAATTCATG